AAGTTAGATTCGATCCACGTGGTATAGTAGCGGTCGAAAGAATGTAGGCACGATCATCGAGTAGCCCTTGAGAAACGGGTCCTACTGGTGGTGGTGGTGGTGGTGGTGGTGCCGCCGCCGCGACAGCGTTATGTACGACAGTGATATTGTGAGTGCGGGCCCGAGACCCTTCACGCCTCGTACATTATTACTGTCAATTCTTGTTTGTTCTCAGTGTCCAAAACACTTCACTTACTGTCAGTTCCTGTTCAACTTAACAACCACACTGTACACACTTTCTTTCCAACGAGGGTACCCCCACTCTGTATACCGTTCACAGATCCATATACCTAACAATTGTTTCGATTTAACAAACGCCGCTGAGTACGTTCGACGGGACGCGACGGTTTCTCGATCGTCGAGCCGTAGCCAGAGGCGACAGCCGATTTGGCTCGACGTCGTTTTAAGTTACAATTTTCAAGCTCCATCGAACGCGTCAGAGACACGCTGTACACGGGGATGCCGACGATCGTTAACTGGATGCACGCGAAATCGGTGTCCCGTAGGATTATCAGCTGATTAAGAGAAGCCACGGCGAGACGGCCGCGTCGTGCTGTGCCCTGGCGGCATTTTTTGCTCCCTGTCGACAAGAGACCGGTTTCGAAAGCGTACACACCTCTGGAGAGAACACGCGTAAAACATTGAGGAAACGCCCCTCCTTCGAAAGAAAAACAATGCATAATTTTTCGATTTACGAACGACCATCGTCGGCAGGATAATCCGAGACACATGCTAATAGTTGCACAGGAAGGTAGAGAACACGATCAGGATGACAGACTCTCCTTGGCAATTTATTATAATCGGATTATATCTTAGGTGATTGCAATTGAATACAATTAACAATCGCGCGGCCAAGCTCACCGCAAACTGCCAGCAATATAGTCTAATGTACAGAAGCTACGTAGAAAACGTACGCGACCTCCTTCCTGACAAATCAGTCAATTCCTTCGGGATAGGCAGGTATACTCTTTTTTTTTTTCCTCCTTCCACTCCGCATCCACTTTCTTTTTTCCTGCCTCTCCTCTAACCCTTCCCCTTCTTTCATGTTGGTTCCCCTCCTCTGGTCTCCCCAGCGCGCGGCGCTCTTTTTCCTTCCCGTCACAGGCTGCGCTCCGATTTCACGCCGCATACAAATCCGCCCCGGGAGTAATAACGAAAGTAAACGTGAGTACGCGCAGGTCAACGCAGTTATTTAGCTAATCACGTAAGAACGCTCCGAGGGCCAAGCTTTTAAGAATCTACCGCAACCCAATATTCTCGAAAATTCACCACGTACGACCCCCGCTCCGATTGGAAATCGTTGGAATAATGATGCCCGTTTCGTGTGCAACCACTCCGTTGAATCCGAAAACTACACAGAAATTACCGTTGCCCTGTACTTCTTTTCATTTCTTTTCTTTTCTTTTCCGAACGACCGTTCTTCCCGAGTTTGCTGCTCTTTTAAAAATAAAAAGCTACACACGAACGAGTATTACGCCGCCGCGCCGGTCGGCCGGTCGGCCGATTCGACTTGACCCCGACACGTCGTGGTTGCCACGTTTTCTTTTTACGCGTCACGCATACTTTCGTCATCGAATTTTACATACATTAGCTTTTTATTATTACTCGCGCGAATGCTACTTGATCGACAAACAGGAAGGAAAGGACCACGAAAGAAAAGAAAAAGCGGGTCGATTTTATTTGGGCTCGTTATCGGTCTTTGCTCGTTTCCCCCTTCAATTTCGTCTCATGGTTGACCGTTCAAAACCGAGTCGCAATTCGGACAACCCGGCTTCGTAAATCGCAGAAAACCGCGACGAGATTTACGATGCTCGTGTGTTTACACGGGTTTGCCCTTCCTACCCACCCTCCTTTTATCGGTAAAGATGTTATTATTATTACTATTATTATTATTATCCCTCTGTAATTGGTAGAAATATTCTGCACGTAAGTTACTGGAACAAACATCATCGATTACGCGACGACGACTACGAAACTAACAACTAACTGGCTTGTATCGAATGCGCGATTTCGTGGCCCAACCACGCATTGTTATTCAGGCCACTGCTAATTAGATGCTGTCGAAAGAAAAGACCCGCCTCGTGGCGCTGCACAGGAAAGTGAAAAAGTTACAGAAGATGCGACAAGAAACGCACGCGATAAACAAGAGAGTACGGGGTGTTGTGTATCGTGTGGACATGTTTTCGGTGGCGGACACACGTCGAACCGCGACTTTGTTCTCACTTTTGCTCGGCAGAATTCGAAGACGTACGTATCGAAGCATATCGGTGGATAATAAATAAACGGGTAGGGATAATAGCTATTCAGTATCGGAATTTACTAGCGCGAGGTGCACCAGAAGTAACTGGTGTGTGGCACAACTAGGCGCGAGTAAAAGTTACACAGGCAATCGAGTCGACGTTCAATAATCGAAATTCCCGTGTTCCAGGTCGCGTGACTATGCAAATCAGTCGCGCGCGCTCGCGCGGCGACCGGCAGTGACAGTGTAATAATGACCGTTTCTACTTACTACGGGATGATGTTTACGCGCGGCGCGGCAACCGATCATCGATCACGTTCCCAGGTCTTGAAATTCAATAAAAGAATTCCCTCTGTCCACCGAGATCGAATTGATGATCGGCCAGTGGAAAAAACTGGGGACTCTACGCGACCTGCGAGTACCTGTGCCGCCACGTGATTAATGCAGTCTCTCGCCTTCATTATTACACACGACGCGGTTGTGATTCTGATACGAGCCCCTCTACAAAACAAACAGCAAGACGCAACATGTGTCGTGTACGTTTGAAAGATTTTCGTTATTTCGTAGCTCCAGTCAGAATCGGAGAAGACACGCGTACGCGATCAGAAAAGTTATCGATAAATAGAGAGGATCGGTCTTTGTCGCTGTCCTTTTCGCGGCCGAAAGTGAAGGGGCGCGCGTGCAACATCCGGTTTGCAATTTTTGCACGGTTTATTGGGATTTAAAGTCGATTTACGTGCGGCCACCGCGTCATTCGGCTTTGATCATCCCGCGCCAAAAAAAAAGGTCTCGGCTTTCCCAGTCGAGAAGAGCTTACGGATCGTTTTTGAACTTTTCCATATTCGCGATAATTTTCTCGGAATCGAAACAGGCTTGACGCAATAAAACAATCGAAATAATCAACAAAAAAAATGCCCGTCTATAGTCACTGGGAATGGTCGATGCATCGATTAGACCATTGCAAAGAAAAAAAAAGGCTACGAACCATTCGAGAGACTAGGGTAATATAGTTGGTTCACTCGCAACTCTTCCTTCACGAGGAAAGACTGAACGGAAACTAGAAGAAAGGACGAGGCAACATTTCTCGGTGGGAGGGAGGAGGAATGGAAGAAGGCTGCAAAATCGTGGAGAGACACAAGAAAGGGTAAGTCGTTGAAGAAACAACATGAAGTTTCAGGAAAAACGGACAACCTGCAACATTGTGTTTACCTTTCGAAGATCGACCTTAAGGAAGATCGTAGAGGCTTTTCGGAAATCGCAGGTATACGACTGGTAACGGGGCACCGTGGAAATCGAGAAATGAATATTCATCGGCCCATTTTGAATTTCACGTTCGCGTGATGGATCTATGCCGAGATGCCTAACGGTACCTGATCTCCTCGTGGCTGGCAACGTGTATCACGGCAAACTGCTGCCTCTCGAAGCTCGTCGAAGCTGCAACTTAGTGCGAACGTGACTCAGGTGCATCGGTGCGCGAAAGTGGAAAGACCGGCGGTCGTGGTGATGGTGGTGGTGATGGCAGACGATGGCGAATTTGACGCGTGCAGCTTCTCACCTGTTGCACAAGATGCAATATCGATAACGAAGCCGATTCGTTTCGGGTGTACACTGTCAATGTGTGTAACGCGAGGAAGACACCGTCCCGCAGTTTCTTCTTTATATACTGCCACCTCTTGTTTCGAGACGATGATTAATCGAGAAGCACGATATCGACGAATAATCGATACATTTACGACCTTCCACTCTGCTCCGCTTTATCGTGGTTTACAGCAGCTACGATGCTTTCCGTTCGACCGTTTCTTACATCGTAAATAATGAAAACAACGTGTAAAGAACTGCGGGTATAATACGAAATGAAAACACGACGGATTTGTATCATCTCACCGACAAGTGTACAAACAATGTACTCGTTTGCATGTCGCGTACTACGCGAATATGACGGGCAGCCACCGAGTCAAGGTACAATAATAATCTCCGTCACAGCTTGTATCGCAAAATGGTTCCAACCATTTTTTCCGGACTCTCTCCGTCCTCGAAGGTTTTTGCGTCGTGAAGAGGAATTTTGAGCACTCGACGACGCTTCATAGGAGGGCAAAAAGGAAGGCAACGAGGTGAACCTTTTCCGTTCGTTCGACGAAGTGAAATTGTTTAATTTAGACGTTTGACGGTGTTTTACGAAGCACGCGAACATTTCGCTCCGAAGTAAATTAAAGGGACTCGTGATACGAGTATCCTTTCGAAGATCATACGCATCGGAGTACAGTGTCGGAATCTAGTTTCCCTCGTTAAAATCAAGGAACCTGTGAGGGAAATCTGATGTTTCCCCTACATCGAGCATAACAAACGAGAAATCGTTGCGTGAAACACGCTGTGCCTTTCGTGCTACTCCTCGAAGGTTTTGCGCAATGGAAACATTTCGACAACTGTGCAAGGTTAGACAAACACTATGGCAAATCGTATCGTAGTTACCCCTGCGAATTAAAGAAACCACCCGTAACGATGGTAACGGGAGCAACTCGTGGATCGGCGTGCATCAAGGGATGATCGAAACGCGTTGTCGAAAGACGGAGAAATGGAACGTTCGACGGTGGTGACGGTCACGGCACAGATTCGTCGTAGGTCAAGAGGAGAAGAATCACGCTGCAACGGCAGTCGCCGCGACTAGCGCGGTCGACAGTAGCAGGCAGGCAGGTTTGCAAAAAGGCAAGAAGTCGAAACGTACCTGTCATACGCCGTTCTCTTGGTCTTTCTTCCGCTGGCTGGATGGCTAGCTGGCTGGTTTGCTGGCTTCTCTTTCGCGCTCTTTCTCTATCTCTTGCTCTCTCTTCCCCAGTTTGGTCAGGGCCATGCGTCATCGGCGCAGAATCGGCTGCGCTTTGGAGGAACGTGGACGCGGTCGCGGCCGAAGACCGCGGCGGCAGGGCTAACACGAACAGCAACGAGCAGCAGCACCGTGTGCCACCGAGATATTTGGCGGACTCGAAAATAGCAACAGCATTCTCCTCTACAGTGTGTGCGCTCCCTCTTCTTGGTCGTCTTCGTCGCGGTCGTCGCCGTTGTCGTCGTCACCGCCGTCGTCTTCGTCTCCTTCTTCTTCTTCTTCTTCTTCTTCTTCTTCTTCTTCTTCTTCTTCTTCTTCTTCTTCTTCTTCTTCTTCTTCTGCTGCTGCTGCCGCTGCTACTGCTGCTGCTTCTACTTCTTCTTCTTCTCCTACTTCTTCTTTTGCGACTGCTTCTTGTTCTTGTTGGTCCGCGCGCCTCTGGCTGATTCGTACCGCCGGATAACTCGTTCGATCGCTCTCCACCAGTTCGCACTTTTATATACCACGCGCTTGCTGCCCGCTTGTTGTCACTTGACCGCTTTCCGCTCTTCTCTCACTCGGTCACCAGCTGCATCTGTATCTCCGGATGCAGCGAGCACCACTCGCGAAGCGATTACGACGTCGTCACCGCCGGCAATTTCACCAGATAACCCCAAATTCTGCTCGATCGACCCTATTCCCCTTTAACGAAGCATGGACTCGACGATTCTTCTTGTTCAACCTTACCACGACCGATCGCGATAGTGGCTCTCAAAGCAGGATCAACCCGACCCGTGATCTGGTAATTCGTTAGCTGAACGACTGTTGCTCGCCCGCGGAACCGTTCATGGTAAATCAAGTTTCGTACAATCACGATCGCCGGTATCGGTATCTCCTATGTACACATATGCGTATGCTTCCAACCCCGGATATGGACGCGAAGTGTCCCGCCCGAAAAAGTCTGACAATCGTGAACGCAAATCCAACCACTATGCTCTGATCTCGAGCAAAACATACGCTGCTGCTAGTCGTCGGTCCCCTAATTACCCTCCTTTTTGGTACCCGAAGGAAATTCTGGGTCCCTCGAATGACCGGCAAAAATCTGGCTGGTCCGTCACCGTTTCTCGTTTGCTCCCTCGGTCCGTCACCCTGTCGCGATTTTCTCTCCCCCGGTTCGCACGTGCACGCGACTCTCGAAACGTCGGAATTCCGCCGAGCAGAGCGAGAGAGAAACGGAGATATGCTCGCGGCTCCGCGGTTCGCGCGCGACTGACCGAGGGCGAGAGTCGTTATTGGGAGCAGAGCGCCGGTGAGGTCTGTTCGTCTGTGGTCTCTCTCTCTCTCTCTCTCCAACCCCGGGACTATCGGCTTCCTCCTCTCGCTCCTCCTGTCCCATGCATCTCTCTTACTCTCCCGCACCATTCGTTTCCCGCCACCTCCGCCCGCCGCTCGCCCACGACCACAAGCTTTTCCTTCTCGCTCCCTCTCACCTTTTTCACCGTCCTCTACCCTCTGTTTTTCTCACGTGAACGCGGTCTCGCTCTGTTCACCAGGCGACAACCGAGCGGCCTTTTCCGTCTCGTTCGGCTTCATTCTCTCTCTCTCTCTCTCTCTCTCTCTCTCTCTCTCTCTCTCTCTCCCTCTCTCTCTCTCTCTCACTCGCTCGCTCACTCACGGCTCCCGTTCGACTCGCAGGCGCGAAACGAACGAAACCGAAACTTAAGCTCGGCTGTCGCCTCCTTCGTCTCTTCTCGCGCTGCTCCGCGAGTCGACTCGCCTTGCCTTGTCTTGTCTTGTCTTGCCTTCCCTTGCATTGCCAAGAACCGTCTCGCCTCTTCCTTCTTAGACGAGCATCGGTCCCCTTGGCTCCGTCTCGCTCAGAACCATAGGACCACGCGGTGCGTCTCCGCGAAGCTACGCACAAGCGACGTTCGAGAGCCCGTAGACGCTGTCCGAAACTGGTTGGAGAGATGGCCCGCCACTCGTTTCGGCATCGTAATCAACTGGCCAGACTGCTGTTCCGCGCGCGGTCCGACCAGCCATCCCCTCTGCGAACATCGTTCTCACCCTACTTTTACCCACCCTTTCTTTCTGCATTCCAGACAAATCTCGACCAAAGGAATGAGTTCCCGAGACGCGTGTTTACGCGGCTGTACGAGATCAAGGTTTCCGAATTCTGGCAGCTGCTTGCTCCGCTCCGACTCTGCTCCGCACCATTTCCGATCCACAGGGAATCACGGTATCACCCGCGCCGTTCGGCTGTTTTTCAATGGAAACACCACTTCCCGATTCCTGTATTCGGAACCTATCTCTCGCGACTGTTAACGACTGAGACTAGTCTCAACGTACAGAAACTTGACGCAAAAAAGCGTAGAATTCGAGTGAAAGCGGCGGCTCGCCGTAATGGTGATCGTGGCGTCGCGTCCGATAGGTACTTGCCGAGGATCGCGTAACTACATCGCCGACGCCCATCGTCCGAGGAAACGAAACGTTCTGTTAAAAGTGTACTTTCTTCCAAGATGGGACAACGTTCGTTCCTACAAAGGGCCAAATCATATTTTTCATACGTTGTAAACTCCTTCGAATACCGACGAAAGAATCGACCAAATCAATGGTAACGCCGTGATGAAAGTTCTCTTAGAAAGTGTAGGAGAACAAATGACTTCCTAGGTACGATCAAATTACTTCCGATAGGAGGGGCGGGGGGCAATGGAATTCAATTTCGTTTTGTTTCCCCAATTGCACAGCTACGTTGTAATCTCTGATATTGTCCTTTGCGGTATTTTTCGTACCGCAAGAACCACACTCGCTGACCGGTTCCGCGTAAATCCGAGTTTGGATCCCACTCGGAAGTTCTTACGCAATTTCTGGCGTGACGAAGCTCTCCAAACTTGTACACCGAAGAACCGACCTAAGATTAATGGAATGTAACATGGTCCATCCGTGGAACGTAGTGTCAACGATCCCAATCATTTGTGTACAAGGATTAAAGAAACGAATTTAACGACGCAAAACCACGCGCACATGCGGGGATCACCGAATTCTCTAACATCGTATCCGCCCCGCTCCATACCGTTCCATGGAAGCTCCACACCGCACGTGATTGAAAATTTTAATTCGAAGAACCAGCTGCGAAACCCCGTGAATCACAGCCTACCTTTTTTCATCTCTGATCGATCGATCTATCGATCGATGCTCGATTGCACAATTTTAATCATCGTCCCGTCGAGAGCTGATCCGTTTCGATTTCCACCTAGCCAATGGTATCGCGTTCGACGATCGACTCTAATATTCTGCAGGTACTTTTATCAATTCCAATGAAACTGCAACTTCTACGTACACACCCCTCGTGAATAGAAACGTTTAACGTGTTACCAGACGCTATGATTTTAATCGAGCGAACAAGATCTCTGATCCGACTGCCTTATTATCTTTTCAATACATGTAGTTCCGACACGTTGTCCGATCAGGATTTCTAAACACCATACACACCGGTTTCTTGTGGCATACATAACGATCGATTAATATAGGTATTACCCGGACAGTAAGTTCCCAAATGTTCGACGGATCCGTTTAACCGATCATCGTTATGTTGTTGTCTAACGTGACGAAAATGATTTCAGTTTCACCGAACACAGTGGAACAGGACCGTTACCGTCACTACAATTTGCTCCAATCGATGTAACATTGTGAACGATCCTTTTCACCGACAACGGTGCACGTTCCTCTCGCCAACGATACCATGCACTTGCAGTTGCCAAGTCGACGCGACGGCATGAATGGATGCATTATAAACCATGCGAATCGAAGTTTTCGGTACGCGGAATTCTTTCGCCGTGTAACGTTCATACGGAACGCTCGATGGCCAGTAGAGAATGGAAAACGTTACTCAACCGTACAGGTCGTAGAATAATCGAATCGATGGATTTCTGGATCGCCGTGGATCCTTAGACAGTTGCACGATTATCAGAGACGTCCAGAGATAATGGACTAAAATGGATATAACTTGTGAAAATTGACTCGATTCGTCTTGTTCGTTCCGGTATACGTTGATCGCGGTGTCCACGGAACGCTTAGAAACCCCTTTCGAAGACTGTTCTTCTGTTCGGTTCGATTCACGAACAGGTGGGTATGCGTCGCGACAGAACGCGCGAGAAGCCAACGGGTACCGTTACGCGAACGCTGTCCTCGGAATGATCTATGCACAAAGAGAAATGAAACACAACAGATCTTAATTCGAACGACCAAGCGATCACCGAATATCTGGACTGAAAGAACTTTGGTAACATCAGGCGCGTAATTTCGCTCGTATCGGTGGCTGTACTCGAGTCACTCAACCGAAACACGCGTAATCCTAGTCGATTATACGTGTATATAATAATACCTAAATATTTGAAAATTTCAAATATTTTAGGTCTTCGAGGAAGGCGGTCCACGTTTTTAATAGTAGCCTGCACGTGAATCCTATTAACATAAATGAAGGGGCTCCTCTGCATTCCGTCGCGAACGGAAATTGACCTTCGTCGGGATAACGTGACCTTGATACACCTTCAACACGGAATCGATATATTCGTGGTAAGGGTAGTCACGTTCTCCGACGAGTGAAAGGGCTACGACAATGTCTACGCCTGTAATCCATGCCGCTATCACGATCGATCTACGCCGGACAAAATCGTACGATCAAGTTGTGTAGATAGGTACCGTCCCTCGAAGAGATGTATTAGAAATTCGAAAAGCTAACGGCATTTCGTGAAAATGTATTCAACGGGGACCGCCGAGACGCGGGCTCCGTGGCGCAAAAGATAGGACGACACAACAACGGGAGAATTAATGGCGGCTCCTCAGTATCAATTACACGCAGTATAATATACCAGGAAACGTCGAACAATTATTGCTGTCTGGCCCACATATTGCACCGAGCGAGCGGCCTGTAACGTCGTTCCTCGTCTCGTTGTCCACTTGCCTTCATTGCACTCGTCGAAGGTTCACAGTTTTTCTCATGAACGCTCCTCCCACCCTCTTTCCTCGTTACCAGCAGCCCAGAATCGAGCTTCAAAGATTCGTTCAACGGCCAACGCTTACGGCTTACGGTTAGTCAAAGTATGCTGCCCATCTATTAAATTTACGTTTCGATTCGCGACTCGATGAAAAGATTCCTTCCGAGATTAATTATCGATCGTTGTACCTATCATACATCGTCTCGAGTCGTACAACTATTACATACAGACGAACCACCGCAAGGGCGGGAGTCGGAGACTGCCTCTTTAAATTGCTCGAGCTGCGCATGCATCGCTACCAATTAATTTGTTTATCGA